ACAGGACCCTGGGCGTTTTCTTGGAGCCTCCTCTGCTTCGTAGAGAACTTTCGCGTGTGTGGGCCCGTACTCCTGGTTCAGGACGCGTTTCGAGTGAAGTCCATCTTCTTTCTAGCCTGATGTTCTTGATTCTGAGCAGGGGTGCGCTGCCGACTCCAGGCCGATGCCCCCCACCCTGAGCCCCCCCCCTTCCCCCCCCTTCCCAGATCTCCGACGCCGCGATGGATTCACAGCCTGGGCTTCCGGAGGCCTGTCCGGAGGGGGAAACAGACACACAGACACCGTGAATCGCCGATCCCCCAGGAAGGATGGGAAGACATGGGAAGGGAGGGGGGAAGACAAGAGCTGATGAGGTATTGGAGAATACAGGGGGTCCGGTTATTTGTGTATATCTATCTATGTCCCATGTACTTTTTGGGGGATCGCCGGCAGACCTGCGGAGGCCCAGGCTGTGAACAATCGCGGCGTCGGAGATCTGGGAAGGGGGAGGAGGAGGAGGAGGAGGAGGAGGAGGAGGAGGAAGACAAAAACTTAGAAGATGTTGGAACATACGGGGGGAAGACAACAACTCAGAAGATGTTGGAACATACTCCAGATTTCGTAATAAAGGGAGGGGGGTCTCATTTCGGGGGGGGTCTCCTCCAGGCTATCTTGGAGGGCATGGGGGGGTCTGGGGGCGATGTTTTGGAGGGTTCTCCCACGGGGGGGTCTGCAATGGCTTGTCCTGGAGGGTCCAGACCCCCTCCCACTTATTACGAAATCTGGAGTACGGGGGATCCCGTTGTTTGTGTGTATTTACTTGTACGCTAGTATTCGCTTGAAGAGGGGCGAGGGGGGGGGGGTGGGGGGCGAACGCCATGCACGTAAACTTCTCTGAATCAAAAAAAAAGGCTCTTGTGTGTCCCAGGGCCCCTGCAGTCTGGTCCCTCCCCCGCGGGAGGCCGGCGCGCCGCCCCGGGGCCGTCGTGTGGACGGCCCCTGGGCCCGGCGGTGGGCTCGGGGGGCCGAGCAGTTGCACAAACCTCTCGGGGCGGGCGAAAGGGGGGGATTGGGAAAGGCGGGGTTACGAAATCTGCTGCATGCAGCTGGTTTCGGCCCCACCGAGGGGCCCATTCCTCGATACATGGGCGCCTCCCGGCGCCGGGAGGCGCCGAGAAAATCAGCTATTTGAGCTGATTCTCAAACCCCCCCTTTGCTATCCCCCCCTTTCGCCCGACCCGAACCTCGGGGGCGGCAAAGAGGGGGGTGATCCAACGACGCGGAGATCTGGACAAAATCGGATCGGGATAACTCGAAACCTCTGAGAATCGGCGGGTTTGGAGGATGTATTGGGCGCCGCGGCCGCTCCAGAGCGTTCCGGAACGCTCTGAGAGCGCTCCGGAACGCTCTGGAGCGATTAATCCCGATCCTAGCCTTGTTTTAGGTGATGGCTAGGGGGGGGGGATCTCATGGCGGGGGCCATGACGTTTCCCCGGATTTCAGAGCGCCCCTTCTTATGTCATCACGCCCCTGGCCCCCCCGCGGGGCAGCGCATATGCCGCCGGTCATGACTTACACCCCTCCCCTTTTGGACCCCCCCCTCTTGGCCGCTCCCGAGAGCCCGCCGTCGTGCTCTGAGGGGCACGACGGCAAAAAACCCCAGAGCACGACGACGGGCCCGCCGTCGTGCTCTGGGTTTTTGTCGGCGTGGCCCCAGCATACTTCTACTATCGGGCCGGGCGAAAGGGGGGGATTAGGAAAGGGGGGGTTACGAAATTTGCTGCATGCAGCTGGTTTCGGCTTCACCGAGGGGCTCGTTCCTCGATACATAGCCGCCTCCGGCGCCGGGAGGCGCCGGGAAAATCAGCTATGTGAGCTGATTATCAAGCCCCCCTTTTGCTATCCCCCCCTTTCGCCCGACCCGATACTACATGTGCGTCGCCCCCCAGGGGCGTCGCGCGCACCGAGACATCTTCCTGTGGATGCGTCGTGGCGGGCGCTTTCTGTCCACACCGCTCGGGAGACGATAATGCTACAAGATGGGTATACTGTCTGCTCGGGTCGGGCCCGCGCCTCCAATGAGGACATGCAGTACTAGTATTATGTTGTTCCCATCCGACTTAAGGACCGCATCCCAGAAATAATTTCGAGTGTCGAAACGGTGTCGAAACAGTGTCGGGCGAGTGTCTCCCAGGGCCTGACGCGTGAAAACCCTCGAGTTTCGGTATTTTCTGGGGGCTCGAAATTCTTCCTGGTGGTCAAGGCTAAAGTAGGCTGGAGCATCATAATAATAGTAGTATGCCCTTGTGCGTCCCGTTTGGTCCGCCCCCCCCCCCCCCCCGAAGCCTCCGTTCTGATCCCAGGCGTTGGCGCATGTGGCCTCGCTGCCCGGCGGGGAGCCGACAGAGGGCCAGTGTCCGAGCCCAGCTTCTGGGGCAGCCCTGAGGCTCGGCGGTGGCGGACGCGCGCGCTCCTTCTCTTGAGCTCACCTGCTGCACCTGGTGGAGGGAGGAGGGGAGGA